CCTAGCTATTTTTTTTTTGGTTGCAGCCATCATTGTTGTTTGGCGGGCCTGGGCTGGATTTGAACCCGCCACCTTAGGTGCATGTGGCTGGCGCCTTAGCCACTTGAGCCATAGGTGCCAAGCCATAATTGTATGCTTGTAATGTTATTTTCTACTTGTATCATTTTGAGTACAGTACAACTTTTCAAAAAGTCGTTTATTTATAATGGTTTTTAATATTTTAAGCTACATGTAAATTTATTGAATTAGCATTTATAGTAATTCTCTGATATTTGAATTCTTGTTTTTTCTCATCCCAGTATCCCTAATTTTACTCTAAGGGTTATATTACAACAAAGATAAATTGTATCATCATAATAATACTTTGCATTTATGGGACTCTTTAAATTCATAGTTTGTGCCTACAACAATCTTGTAAATTAAGTACAGGCAACATTGCCAAGGCAATATAGGTAAAGAGATTAGTAATCTCCAGTTCTAGAGTATTTTTTTATTGTTAGAAATCTCTGAGGGATCCAATAAATAATAACCCTTTTTCCTATTCAAATCTAGAAAATAATTGACAAATAGAGATACTGACAAAGGCTAAACTGAAAGACCTAACTCCCCATTCCCCATCATGGAACAACCCACTGGAGAGAAGGTTTGAGTGGGAAGATCAAGTACACCCATCCAACTTGCTACCTTCCAGTTGTAAAAGAGGGGGAAAGAAAGACAATTCTTTAGCTCAAGATCTTTGCTAGATTAAGACAACCCAGTTAAGAAACATGGACTAGTTAAGTGTCAGTTATGCACCAACCAGGTATCTCACTTTCTTCCTTAGGGAGCCAAAAGTGGTAGGAGAAAATGTTGGAAGAATTGAGGGAAACTATTTCCTCATGTAAACAGAGTAGTAGAGATAATCCTAATGTTATCAGAGATTAATTTTTTTTTTATTTTGTTTTGATCTTCTGAAGAATGCGATAATTTAAGAAACTTATTCTACGCTTGGTGCCTGTAGCTCAGTGGCTAGGGCACCGGAGCTGCCAGGTTTGAACCCAGCCCAGGCCTCCCAAACAATGACAACTACAACCCAAAAAAAAAAAAAAAAAAAAAAGCTGGGTGTTGTGGCGGGTGCCTGTAGTTCTAGTTACTTGGGAGGCTGAGCAAGAGAATCACTTAAGCCCAGGAGTTTGAGGTTGCTGTGAGGTGGGACACCACGGCACTCTACCCAGGGTGATAGCTTTAGACTCTGTCTCAAAAAACAAAAAAAGAAACTTATTCTGGCTGGGTGCAGAGGCTCCTGCCTGTAATCCTAGCACTGTGGGAGGTGAGGTGGGTGGATAGCTTGAGCTCACAGGTTTGAAGCCAGCCTGATCAAAAAGCAAGACCCCATCTCTACTAAAAATAGAAAAAACTGAGTCAAGAGGATCACTTGAGCCCAAATTGGAGGATGCTGTGAGCTATGATGTCACGGCACTTTACCAAGGGTAACAGCTTGAGACTGTCTCAAAGAAAAAAAGAAAAAGAAAGAAACTTATTCTAAATTGATCTCTATCAGGGTTCAAATGTTAGATAATTTTCTTTCTTTGGAATACTTTTTCTCTTTGGTAGTAACTTCAAGGAATCAGTGGGGTATGTGACTTACATTTTAAAAAATAATTTTTCATTTGAAAAACCTATGTACAGGGTAGTGCCTGTGGCTCAGTGGGTAGGGAACCAGCCCCATATACCGAGGGTGGTGGGTTCAAACCCAGTCCCGGCCAAACTGCAACAAAAAAATATCTGGGTGTTGTGGTGGACACCTGTAGTCCCAGCTACTCGGGAGGCTGAGGCAAGAGAATCACCTAAGCCCAGGAGTTGGAGGTTGCTGTGAGCAGTGTGATGCCACAGTACTCTACTGAGAGCAATAAAGTGAGATTCTGTCTCTACCAAAAAAAAAAGAGAGAGAGAGAGAGAGAGAAAAACCTATGTACAGAACTTTGGCTCATTAAAAAAAAAAAAGAAAAGTTGAATAGAGGCTGAATGTAGTGGCTCTTGCCTGTAATCCTAGCAACTGGGAGACTGAACTGGGCAGATTGCTTGACTTTAAGAGTTTAAAATCAGCCTGAGCAAAAGCGAGACTCTGTCTCTACTAAAAGAAAAGTAGAGAAATTATCTAGGCATCTTGGCAGGTACCTGTAGTCTCAGCTACTGATGAAGCTGAGGCAGGAGCATCACTTGCATCCTGGAGTTTTTGGGTTTTTTCCAGTTAAATGAGTTTATTGAAGCTGAAAGTATGATGGTCGTCCAAAGTAAACACAAAAGCCAAAGAATAGTGATCAGTATTCCTGGTGAGGGGAAAATGAGAATCATTTATTCTACTTAAAGGCAAAAGTGGAAGTGCTGAACAGAATTACATTTTCTTTTTCTTTTTTTTTTTTTTTTTGAGACAGTGCCTCAAGCTGTCCCCCTGGGCAGAGTGCCGTGGCATTACAGCTCACAGCAACCTCCAACTCCTGGGCTCAAGCGAGTCTCTTGCCTCCGCCTCCCAAGTAGCTGGGACCACAGGCGCCCACCACAGTGCCCGGCTGTTTTTTGGTTGCAGCCATCATTGTTGTTTTGTCGGGTCCAGGCTGGGGATTCGAACCCTCCACCTTAGGTGTACGTGGCTGGCGCCTTAGCCGGTTGAGCTATAGGCGCCAAGCCCAGAATTACATTTTCCATACAAGACTAACAGATAGAAGATTTGATTGGCTACTTTTGATTACATTTTCAGGGGGCTTCTTAACATTCTCTTGTAAAGAAGTAACAAGCACAAGAGTTTTTATGTCCAGACTCATTTAGCCTAGGTTTGAATGAAGACTAGGGAGTCTGATTAATGTACCACGTGTCAACACAAAGGTCATGCATCAGAGCTGAATTTCATGACTCCTGTTTCCAAGGATTAAAGTTTCGCCTTTGCAAATTAAATTTGGAAAGTCCTGAAATTTTATTTTCTTTGCACATCAGTCTGTTTATGCTTATTATTTCTTTATTTCTTGTAAAATTTCACTATACATAACTTCTCCACCAGCTTCCAAACAAAGATCATGGTGTCCCTGACTTTATTTTACCAATAGATGAGGGAAATGATGTGTTTTTTTGTTTTTTGTTTTTGTTTTTTTGTGTTTTTTTTGGTAGAGACAGAGTCTTACTTTATCACCCTCAGTAGAGGGCCGTGGCATTACAGCTCATAGCAACCTCCGACTCCTGGGCTTAGGTGATTCTCTTGCCTCAGCGTCCTGAGTAGTTGGGACTACAGGTGCCCGCCACAACACCTGGCTAGTTTTTTGTTGCAATTTGGCCAGGGCGGGGTTTGAACCCAGGACATGATGCTTTATAATCACATTAATGAAATAGTACTCTTTTTCTTTTTTTTTTATTAAATCATAACAGTGTACATTAATACTATCATGGGGTACAGTGTACTGTTTCTGTATACAATTTGAAGTACTTTCATCCAACTGGTTAACATAGCCTTCATGTCTTTTTCTTAGTTATTGTGTTAAGACATTTATGTTTTACATTTAGAGAGATTCACATGTACCCTTATAGTATGAACCATAGGCATGATCCTGCCAGTCACCCTCCCTCCACACATGTACTCTTTTTCTAATCAATTGCATATTCCCTTCTTTACCCCTCACACACAGATTCACAATTTCCAAAATTTCTTTGAGCTGTGACACTCTTTTGTCAAGTTATTTCTTCTCTCCTTGAGTTACACATATGTGAAATCAATTTGACTAAGAAATTTTGTTTTGACTTAAAAGCAATATAGTTGGTCAAATCCCTGTTTGTACTTAAGATGTTAGAGACACTAAGTGATTTCTGTTAAAAGCAGCTGAGAGATAAGGTGGGGAGAAAGAGTTAAATAGGCTGAATTTGGGACAACTGGGAATTGAAACTGGGAGAAATGAATCTGAACCCAGGAGGCTGAGGCAGGAAGGTGGCTTGAGCCTAGGAGTTTGAGGTTGCTGTGAGCTAGGCTGATACCACGGCACTCTAGCCTGGAGCAACAGTGTGAGACTCTGTCTCAAAAATAAATAGAATACAGAACAATGTCAGATACATTTCTGACAAATTTGTATTCTTATATGTTATAATCAAGTTTTTAGATATTCAAAATATTATGGAAACATGAAGTACAGAATATACAAAATCTGTTTATTGGTTGTAAATTTGTATAGACTTATATTATCATTTTAGGTTGCCAATGCCATGAAAAACTCATTACCATTTGATGCTCCTGATTCTTCACAAGAAGGCCAGAAAGTACTTAAGGTGGAAGTCACTCCAACAGTGCCGAGGATTTCTCGGACTGCAATTACAACAGCTTCAATTCGTCGTCATAGATGGAGGAGAGAAGGTGAGTACAAAGTCCGTATAGTCTACTGAAGGATTCATGTAAATTTATCACTGTTTTTATGACTGTTTTAGCACATATTATAGGATTCTGTATAAATAAAGTAAAATTTTTTAATTTTTAAAAATAGCACTAGAAATGTGATCAAATGCCCAAAGTCATTTTAATATAAATGTATGTATATTTATAAAGTAGAAAGTTACTATTTAGACTGCTTTATGAATGTTAAGACAGAATATAAGAAATAAGATCAGGTTAACTTTTTCTGTTTTAACTAGCAATAACAATACTAAATAAGTTGTTTTAACTCTGTTACCATACCGGGGAGGGGAAGGTGCATGTATGAGCATTGTGGGAAAAAACTATGTAACTGACCAAACTAACAGTATAATACAGTATTCATAAAGAATTGATTCCTGTTTTTGAATATTTATCTTTGCTTTTCCTTTTTTTGTAAGTGCTGAATCCAGCAGTATTTCATAGACATATGGTACTTGAATAGTCAAGCTGTCTTGCCTAAGAGATATTAATTACCATGTTAATGATCCAGATTTTTCTGTCCTATTCATTTGCAAACCTCACATTGTTCATCTGCTGCCTTATGTGTGTGCATGCTGTGCACACACATGTTAACTCTATAAATAGTGTTTTTGTTTATATCATATCCATATATATACATTCTCTTATCTGCCTGGGTCAAAATGCTCAAAACAGAATAGAGCAGCACAAAAGCACTAAAATTTTATATGTTGAATCCCAGATGGCTTTGACTTCTCAAACGAGGCTGACTCGAGTATTCCTGGCTCCCCGATCCAACTCGGCTCCACTGACCTAGGGATCAAACGTGTGCAAGAGGGGGAGGTGCTGGTGCGCAGGACCCCTGAGCATGGCTCGCCGGAGCCCAACTCAGCAGCAGCCACAACAGAGGGTAGGACAGAGATGAGGAGGCAGAAGTCAGTGAGGCAGTTGCTGGAGAAAAATTCTGGCTCTCTATTCCCAAGCAGAATATTTTTCCATTCCAGTGTGTGTTTCCACTACTTCAGGGTGTATTAGCTCCTCCCTGCAAAGCACCCTCCCTTCCCATATGCCTAGGACCAGATCAGGTACAGTCTTTAGTTGCCATTTGTGCTGGCCTGGAGTCTGCATCCTTGTGTAATCAAAGAACAGCTTGGCATGGCTACTAACAAGGCAGGGCCCTCTCTCCAAAAGATCTGCAAATGCTTGGAATTTTTTCATTACTGAGCATGTTTATTCTAACATTAGGAAAGAAAAATGCACCCAATGGACATGAGCCCGATTAGTCAGTATGAATGATTTCATTTATATAACAATTCTTTAAAAATCTGTGAAGAGAGGCTCAGTGCCTGTGGCTAAAGTGGCTAAGGCACCAGCCACGTACACGTAAGGTGGCCGGTTCGAATCCAGCCCGGGCTGCCAAACAATGACGGCTGCAACCAAAAAAATAGCCGGGCGCTGTGGCGGGCGCCTGTGGTCCCAGCTACTTGGGAGGTGGAGGCAGGAGACTTGCTTGAGCCCAGGAGATGGAGGTTGCTATGAGCTGAGATGCCACGGCACTCTACCCAGGGGGACAGCTTGGGGCTCTGTCTCAAAAAAAAAAAAAAAATCTGTGAAGAGAGTTTTGTAACATTAGTATATTATCTTTGACAAATTGAAGTGGAGCCGACCAATTTATCTGATCTTTGGGTGTTTAGTTAACAAGAATTTTTTTAATCTCTTTGACAAGCTTACGTGTATTGATTGGTTTTTCAGAATCTGCAGATCAAATTGCTTAGGTCTAGCTAGTGAACTATTGACATCTGTCCTCTATAAATGTGCTGTTCTGTTGCACACTTCATTATGTAATTTATTGTAAATTAGGGTTATATAGCTCCCCAACAGAACTGAAGTGTATTATTAAGTTTAGATATTCTACTAGATCCTTGATTCTACAATGTAGATACCTCAAAACCAGAAATTTTTTACTCACATACCCCACCACCACTACCATAAAAGAACACTTCTCTCAGATAGAGTAGTGTTTACTTGCTGTTTTACATGTTCGCTTTGTGAAAGAGAGAACCGTAGACCAAATAGCTTTTTAAATTATCCAATATATTGCTACTATGGAAACTTTACACTAGTTTATGAAATAAGCCAAGTAGTTTTCAAAGTATGTATTTACTTACTTTAAAGGCCAAACACACATAAAACAGCTCAGCAGCTAGGGTGCCTGCCACATACAGCAGAGCTGGCAGGTTCAAATCCAGCCTGGGCCTGCCAAACAACAATAACAACTACAACCAAAAAATAAATAGCTGGGCATTGTGGTGGGCACCTGTAGTCCCAGCTACTTGGGAGGTTGAGGCAGGAGACTGGCTTGAGCCCAGGAGCTGGAGGTTACTGTGAGCCATGACGCCACAGCACTCTACCCAGGGCGACATAGTGAGACTCTGTCTCAAACCACCCCCACCAAAACAAATATACATAAAGCAGTTAACTTCCACCTTAGGGAAGTCTCTTGCTCTTTGGTGCATTAGAAATTTGAGCATGCTCAGTAAGAATCTAAATCTACTCTCTGTTCCCTTGCCCATTTGCCCAGGTTGACCTTACGTCATTTAACACTGTTGCATGTGCATGACCTAGGGACCCAAAAAAGTTAGTTCTGTTTTAGAAATCCTTTAAATGGCTGTGAAAGATGCAGCCTTCTCTTTTTGCTTTTTATATATCTTTATGTTATCCTTAGGAGTCAGTTTTATCTTGTGTAAACACATAAAAATGAGAATATGAGTAGATGTATCCAAATTTGGCCTAAATTGAACAACCGTCTGTTTCTCAACGTTCTTAGTGATTAAATGAGCCACTTAATGTATATTTGTTACCATTGTTAGAATGTTGGGAGTATTTGTGCTAAATGTAGTACTGTATTAACTAATAGTTGATAAAATTCTAGAAAGTGTGGGATTAAGTTGAAGTATTTCTTCCAATTCATCGAAAGTCATACACTTTGAAATAAAGGAACCAAAGTAGTAGTTCCTTTTTAATCCTGTACAATCCTAGTAAATATTCAAACAGCCTACTTTAATATCTCATCACTGGTAAAATTCAGTTGTAAGATGGTATAGCCAGGAGGAAAGAGAAAGAAGTTTCTTGAGTGTGTTTGAAATTTCTAAAAAAGTTATTTTATCTTTTAATCTAGATTAAATTTTTTTTTAAATCAACATTAGTATAACCTAAATTTACAAGAAAAAACAGCTATCAATAGAGAAGTTCTTTTTTTTTTT